GAGCAGTGAGGATTTCTATAAAATTTATCGTGCAAACGCCTACCGTGAAAAAGGCCTTGGTTTTTAAAGTTTTATGGGACAGTTGCTGCCTACTTTTACCGACATAGGTCAGTCACGCCCGTGATTCGAACACTCTACAACTCTATCTTCCGATCACGGGACTGGCTACCGACTGATTTAAATATACGCAAATCATTTTGAAATCTAACCAGAGAGGTTCTGTAAAGCTGAACCAAGTGTCTTTATTTTCTGCTTGAATTTTATGAATTTTGTGAAATCTAAGTATTTTGTTTCATCTCACCTTTGTTAAATTACCCTGTTAAAAACATTTCCATTTTTAACATAGGGAAACTAAAATATAATCAAAAAAAAAAATTATAATAATGGTTCAATAACTGCTCTTTGTTGAACTTACAAAACTAGTAATTTTAACAAATTGTAAATATAGTAAGAATTATGCGGTAACATTACAAAATACTTTTTGGGATTAACGAACTAGGTACGCTAGTAGATCCACTTACACTGTAATTAAATATCATATGACCGTTATATGATGATATTTCACCATATCGATTCCTTTATTTGGGTAATCTGTATTAAGTCGTAAATTATAATTCTCGAGCAATTTTACCCGAGAATGCGAATGTCGTAATTTAACGTTGTCTCCCTTGAGGTTCATATCATTTTAAAGACTTTCGGTCAGAGTTTGCTGGCTTTTTATGCCCCATTTATCGAAGATTCAGAGTTTTTGCCCCGTCCATCTGTCTGTCTGTGTGTCCGGAAAAATTTAAACCTTGCCCATAACTTTTAAATTGATGGGGCTATGGCCTTTATATTTCACAGGTGTATTTCTTGTATATATTGACCTTGGATTGCTACCCATTTAAAAAAAAAAACGTTAAACCTTGGCAACCAGTTTTGAATGTTTGGGGCTATTTCTTTCAGATTACACTAGTCAACGTTTGACAAGATCTTCTCTTGGGTACTAATAAATTTGATCCTGGGCCTCGGATTTGGAGTTGGCCTAAAACCTTTTGTCATATCTTCTCGTAACGGGATTTTGCCAGGGCTTTCATTTTTCTCATTTTCACGCGTATTTCTTTTAATAAGACTTTCCTGAGTGTACCAACAGTTTTGATCAAATGACCTTGAAATTAGACCTACTTCTGAAAAACTCTTACTTTGGCCACAACTCTTGATTGGTTGGTGCTAGGGCTTTCATATTTCACAACTGTCATGTGGCAAGACCTCTGTTTGGTCACCAATAATTTTAATCTTTTAACTGGGATACTTTTTAATCAAACAAGAAGCCTTTGGGTAACATCGTTCCTCTGAGCACATTGGCATAGAAAAAGCAGCTTTCTCTTAAGTTTCATCTTTTCTGGCCCAGAGGTTCTTGAGACGATTTTTTAAAAGATGCCACAATTTCTTTTTACAAATTCTTAATTATCACCCCTTGAATAAAGATAAGACTCTTCCTATCAACAAACTGAAATCCCCTTATCCCAAGGATGCTTTGTGGCAAGTTTGGTTGAATTTGGCCCAGTGGTTCTTGAGAAAAAGTTGCATATGTGAAAAGTTTTCAGACAGACAAAAGCAAACAAAATGTGATCAGAAAAGCTCACCTGAGCACAAGTCAAAAATAAAGGTAAAGAATAGCATAGGCTACATGTAAGTGCCTTTTTTGTCCATTTGGTTGAACATTTATGACTTATTACTATTGTTTGCAGCTGACTGTAAAGTTTCACATTACGTCACAATCTAGTTGACAGCTGCACTCAAGGTAAATTGTACACGCCTCCTAACCGCAAGCTTTACGAAGGAACTTTCTTCTCTGGTTTGTGCAACAGACTATTTCCGTATCAATGTTGAAATTTGATGACCTCACGTGAATTGTTTACGCTGGATTCTGACGAAAAAGATCGTGACGAAACGTGAAACTTTATAGTTAGCTGCAAACAATAGTATCATTTCATTTACTTCACATGTGCAGTTTTATAACTTGGGTGTGTATGATGTTCATAAAAGAACCTCAGTAAATGTTCACCATTAAGTTCTATATATCATTTCTTTTACATTTAGCAAAATGTATGCAGATAGGTTTAAACAATCTTTATTTACTCATTCTTAACAAACAGAATTTATAAATTGATAACAATCATAATACATAGATATGAATTACCATTTCATTTATGATTACATAAAAAAAACAAAATATTCAACATAGTGCATGAACATGCACATTTCATTACAAATCTAAAGATTACACATGATTTATCAGCCCTTTAATTTATGAGATAATTTCACATCTATAATTACAAATACATGTACATGCAAGGCATTAACAATGTATGTACAAATGTGTCAAAAAATTATTTACACTTTCCAGGAATGAAATTTTCCATAAAAAAAATATGTAATTGTTTTAAAATATTGGAATTAAATGAATTCATCATTTACATGGTTCTTCAATTCAATTTCATGATTAAATTAATAAGTGCATATATTGTTTTGCATAAATTTTGTTTTGCATTTTTTTTTTTTTTTGATTTTCAAAGTAATTAGTATTCAGTAAATATGATCATTAATAACAACTTCTTTAAAAAAAATTCTGCATCTCCAACACTTTTTCTTTGAAAACTTATACTTTTTTTTTTATAATTCTTTATTTTTGTTTTACACATTCTGTTATTTAATACAATAAATGATTAATAACAAATACAGAAGGTGTATTTTTTTCATTTTAGAAAGAGAGGGAAAAAAAGAGAGGGAGGAGGGGGGAAGAAGAGAGGAATGCATTCACAATATTTATAACTAAAAAATTGAAGCCTTTCCAGCAGGTATCAAACATATCCTTTTCACCATTTTTGTATGCAATATATTGGCATAAAATGAATTCATAAAAAGCAGAACTTTCTTCTGTGCACCTCATTGTGTAGATATAATATTTAAGCCATAGAAAAAGATTATTTTGTATCTTTTTCCTTTTATCTAAGAATCCAAAAATAAAATTATTTTTTGTTACTGATATCTGAAGATTTGTTATATTTTCAAGGTAATTCTCAAATTCTCTTAAAAAATCTTGTACATGATCACACTCCCAAAGCAAATGTTCAATTGTTTCTTCTTCTACTTGACAGAAGGTACAATTTTTGTTTCTTCAAAATTATCTGGAACCCAGTTTGCAATTGTTTGTAACTTTAAAAGGCAATTTAAAAATCATTTTCCATTCTTTGTCATTTAGTTCAAATATTTCATTCCAAACTATTTTGGTTGAGAAGATTATAAAATTGCCTTGATTTTTTGCCTCTAAAAGGGTATTTATATTTGACATAACCAGAGGGTTTTGTGATTTAGTTACATTTCCATCAAAATTTGCTTTTTTCATCCATGCTTTAATAGCACTTATAACACTCATGTTTGAGAAAATTAATTTTCACTTGTGGATATATATCACAAACAGATTCATAAGTCAGTGGTTCGGATATTAGCATCAAACATGGATTTATTGAAAAAAGTTCCAACAAGGATATGATTATAAAAAAGTGGAGCATTTGCTGTAACTGCACATGACAAAAGCAAACAAAATGTGATCCACATGTTGTAACTTTCTTTATATCTAACATTGGTATAAAATCGTGTTGATCTCTATTTGACAGTAAGTAAAAATTAAGGAAGATGTAAAAGCCTTTACATTTATCATCATATCTTCATATGTTTTAACAATTACATCCTTTTTTTTTGAATACTTTATCCAACTCTTTATAAAAATTGTCATTGGGTTTGGAATTGCCATAAAAACATTTATGACAAAGTTTTGATCAGTTTTTTCTTCACATGTGCAGTTTTATAACTTTGGTGTGTATAATTCAATTAAAAGAACCTCATATTTTGAAGTTCTACATCATTAAGTTCTATATATCAGATTAAAATCTTTCTTTTACATATGTATTAGCAAAATGTATGTTTCTAACATTCCTTGCTACCATCAAGGATAATTTTCATCAGCTAGTTGAGAAATTTTCTTTTCATTATTACATACAGTAATTCCTTTAATTTTTTTATTTTCTCTTATTTGTATACTAAAAACAAAGTAGAAAAAATTTATAAATTGATAACAATCATAATACATAGATATGAACTACCATTACATGTATGTGATTACGATAAAAAACAAAATATTCAACATAGTGCATGAACACGTACATTTCAGTACAAATCTAAAGATTACACATGATTTATCAGCCCTTTAATTAATGAGATAATTTCACATCTATAATTACAAATACATGTACATGCATGGCATTAACAATGTATGTACAAATGTGTCAAAAAATTATTTACACTTTCCAGGAATGAAATTTTCCATAAAAAAATATGTAATTGTTTTAAAATGTTGGAATTAAATGAATTCATCATTTAGTGATTTACATGGTTCTTCAATTCAATTTCATGCTTAATCAATAGGTGCATATATTGTTTTGCATAATGTTGTTTTGCTTTTTTTAATTTTCAAAGTAATTGGTATTCAGTAAACATGATCATTACTAACAACTTCTTTAAAAAAAAAAATTTGCATCTCCATCACTTTTTCTTTGAAAACTAGTTAAACTTGAAATTGTATAAAGGTATACACAGGCAAAGTAAAAAATATAAGGCCACTGGCCAAATGTCAACAACAGTAATAAATAAGAATGAAATGATCCTTGGATGTAAAAAAAAAAAAAAGGACATTTGATCAAATTACAATTTTAGGATATGCCTGTTTCTACCCAATTAATGTAGGCAGTGGTCTTAAGTTTATTCTTAAAAGTCTAAGTACACATAGTCCATTGTAAAATAATTCATAAAGTCAGACTTCAAATTGAATTTCTTGTGAAATCATAATTCATGATCTGAAAGATGCATGACAATGCAGATACATAATATTTTTTAGTAATTTAAACACTACATTTAAGGCCACTGGCCAAATGTAATTTAAGAATGAAAATTTTTTTGATCAAATTACAATTTTAGGATATGCCTGTTTCTAACAATTAATGTAGGCAGTGGTCTTAAGTTTATTCTGAAAAGTCTAAGTACTCCATTGTAAAATAATTTATAATGTCAGACTTCAAATTGATTTCATTATACTCTCTACGAGACTCAGAGAGGTTAGGAATCTACTCTATTCATCCTCAGAAGCAAATGAACAAAAATCACTTGAGAAATCTTGACTAAAGGAAGAACAGAGTTGAACAATTTCATACAGAATATTAAAGTCCCTGTCATCAAAAGGTCAAAGGTCACTTTCTGTGCTTTGGGTCACGCCCACATTTTGTAATGTATGCCTTTGTTTTAATGATTCCTCGACATTTTATGAGCACAGAATATCGAAGTACCCACAACATTTCCCATGAGAGGCTGTCTTTCCCTGTGGTATTTTTCTTGATAATGTCACACAGTTTCTCATTAGGAAGAATATCTACAACAATAAATTTATAAGCAGCATTAAAAGTTAATCCATATAATTAAGTAACACTTAGTACTGTTCATACAACAGTTCCTACAGCAGATTTGTTTACCCATATCTTTGTCTTTCATTTTTTTTTATTTGATTTGTTCGTGAGATTTAGCATTTGCCAGAAAGATTTCACTTTTAATCGATTTTACAAATATTCATAGAGAAAACTGCTTTTCTGATTAGAAAAACATGGTTTAACAACAAGGTCTTTGTAATTTAACAATACCACAGCGTTTATAATGACCTGACATCCCTTATATGTGTTTGAAATCTTTCTCTTCTTTAGTGATTTTAAAGGCTAAATTCTAAACGAACATATTTCCATATTTTCATAATGGCATCTAGACTAAAAATCTGCACAAAATATGGCAAAATTGTAATAGTAAACAGGTCTGCTACAGAAGAATATACAGGAAAATAAAATAAGGACCACCATCTTCAAATTGAATCTTTAATATTTACTGTAGTCATGTATTTCTACACTGAACACAAAAAATATACCATTCCATTAAAGTTAGAAAAAAGGTTTTTGACTGTGTTTGAATGCCATCAAATTGTTTATCTGTGCCTATGGATTTGATGAAATAGAGAAAGAAAGATAACTCTAATACCCGGTATTCAATTTTTTTTAAAATTTCATTTTCAATTCGGATTTTAGAAAATGAATACAATTTGATTTACCTCCCTTACCACGAAAAAAGGAAGTTAACATTCACACATTATAAAAACATTAAAAATTAACATTAAAAAGTTGACAATCTTACCCCTGGCATCATTGTGACTAAGAAGCTGAATATCATTCTGTTTAGCGTACTCAGTCAGGTCCTTAGGCATTACACAACAGGACTCCAGGTTTACCTGATTGATTCCAGGTTTTACCTGTGGGATAATAGCATCTCATTTTAGTCCAAATATATGAATAGTTATTAAAATCACATACTGTTAAATCGAAATAATTAACAAATTCAAAAATCTTGACAAAGAATTATGATCTACATCACATTGTACATGAAAGGTGGCTTATGAAAACCTTAAATGTGACCTATCTAAGATTTCTTACTAGGGATGTAATTAGTTTCAAATATCATCTTGACACCTAAATAATTAAGTTTCTCTTCAATACTAGACTTGTTTTATAGTTTGATGATGTAAATAGTTTTACAACTTCAAAGTTATTACATATTAATCAATCTTAGGAAAAATTTGCCACAACAAAGCTATTTCAAATATGACACAAAATAATATGCTCCAAAGCCATTACTTACCTTCGCCCATTTGTGAAGCTCTTCTAGCTGTTCCTTATTTAGATCAGCTATTCCAAGGGAGAGAACTTTCTCTTCTTCCACCATCTCTTCCAGCACCTCCCAGTATGGTTGGATGACAGACAGAGAGAGATCTTTCTCTTCTTCCAGTTCTGGTAGGGCCAGCAACACAGTCTCAATGAATGTGATATTCAGCTCTGTCAAAACTTTAACATAAAGCAATACTACATTATTATTACAAGTATCAATGTCGTCAATTAAAAAATTAATACACAAATCTTTCTGAACAAATATTTAAATTTTTCTTAAGACATCACAAAAGAATTGCTGAATGATAAGGTTTAGACAAACAAGCATTAGCATGGATATGTTTCATATGCATAAGGTGGGTAATAGGTCCATAGATAGAAATTTCAGTTTCGGGGGACACAACTTTAGGGGGACACTTTGGTGTAGTATAGTATTGGAGGGGGGGGGGCACACATCCTGTTCCTTTGGCCTTGTGTAAATTTCAGTAGGAAATGCTTACCCAAATTTCTGTATTTGTACCTGTCTGTACTACATGTATTTAAATTATAATTAAGACTGTACATTTTATTTTTTCTACCTATTTATTCTATTTGTGAGACTGTAATTAAGCCATAAGGTACATTTTGTATTTCTACCTGACTGTGCCACTTATAAGACTATGTTTTGTACTTCTACGTGTCTGTATTTCTACCTGTCTGTTCTAGTTAAAGCACAAAACTGCAGGAGGTCTAGCATTTAGGAAAGAATAATTTTTCCTGTGTTTTTAATCAATGCAATATTGGTTATTGAAATCTTAATTAGATGAAGGATGATGTGGTATCCTTGTGTTTCTTGTTTTATCAAAATTAAAACATACATAATTATAGTATTGTTATATTGTAACCTATGTAAGACTGACTGATATTTATTTCACCCCCCTTCCACATGTAATATTGTAGGTGTGTGTCTCGCTCTGTATGTAAGTGTGTGTATGTCTGTATGTGAGTGTGCCAAATGTTTGCTTCCGAACATATATGTAATGTGTTGTTTCTGTAAATAAATTTAAAAAAAAAAAATTAAAACATATTAGAACATATCTTTAAATGTAGTGGTTTTAAATTTAACATAATTCTTATTTTGGTAAGCACAGGAACACCATTCATCAAAATCAAGTGCTTGACCAGAGGAGCTAAAAAAAAAAACTACTAGAGATATCCAGGTACCCCTTGATTTGGTGTTTGCCAACTGAAGCACAAACACATTTAAAAACTGTTGAATTGATGAAAGAGAGAGAGAGAGAATAAGATATATCAACAAAATATTACTATAAGTACACCAAAAATAAAAACTTATATACTTTATTTTTCTAAGAAAATAGTTAAAATATCAGTAAATCACAATCATTCAGTCCTCAAAGAAAATGTATATGTAATTTGCAATCTTATTTTTTTTCTTTTCAGACACTTACATTTAGAAGCCTATGTGATATGGATGACTGCATTCTAAATGTGTACGTTCTATTGCCTCTTTCATATTTCAAGGTCAAAGTTGTGGTTATTTTTCATAATTATCTGTACATAACTACTTATGCTAGTGAGTTCTGAGTTCTGCTTTGCTTTTTATTATAGTTGAGATGGACAGGTCACTTTAGGCCTGCAATATGTAAAATTTTTGTGCATGTTATAATTGAAATTTACATGCACACTTTGCCTTTAATGACAAAATGAACTTAAAATATTCTAGGTAATCTACTGAGATCTAACTGAACAAGATTTAAGATATTCTAGGTAATCTATTGAGATCTAACTTAACATTTTATTAAGGGGATTATGTTTTATCCTATTCTCCTGAATTTGTCTGTTAATTAATACAACCATGTATCTGCATGCACATCTACTGGATATATTTTAAGCACAATTTTTTTTATAAACTGACCTGGCACCTGGAAAAAATCCTGCAGGTTTGTGAAATGTATCCCCCCCCTCCATCCTTTTTTTTTTACTGAGCATAGTCACGCAGGCAAATGGATATTAATTTTTCAAAAACAAAACATTCTTCACTTGCCTTTTTCTATTCCCTCTTTCAGTGTGGCTGGAGGTAGTAATTTACACAGGAAAACCTTGACTGAAAAAAAAGGTTAAATGTATAACTTGATATCAGTCAAAACATAGAATTATTGTTGCCAAATTTTGTGGCTTTGCAATTTTCTGTTCATTCTGCATTTATTTATAATGCAGATGAATGGAGTTTATTGATAAAATCTAATTAAAGTAATGTCTGGAGAATTTTATTACCTGTGACCTTCAGATCACCCCTCTCCTCTGCCGGCAGTGGTTCAATAAACTTAGTGCACTTGTACTCCAGACTGGTTTCATACTATCAGAATAAAAACAAATTAAATCTGAATAAAGTCATAAATAAATATGAAAAAAGTCTTCAATAAATTGCATTATCAACTAAATCAAGCCTCAGCGTTAAAACACATTGCTATTACTTAGGTGAAAATTTGAATTCTCAGAAAACAAGGTAGAATATTTGTATGCTGAGGATTTAAGCATATTAATTAAATTTACAAGTGATTACTAATTGTTGTCAGTTTCAACTCACAGACTTTTTCCCTCTTGTCAAGAAGCAAAATTAAAATCTATAGCTAAATGCCAAAGTTTTCACTTGCCATATTTCATTAATGATAACACATTTTAATTTGCTTATCTTGGATCTATGTTTTAATTTTACAAATGTCAATTCACAACTGCCACAAAAAAATAATTGGATAAACAGAAGTAGCCAGACAGATATGCTGCTATTTGATAATCAAACATGCAATCATAAGAATGGCAAGAAAAACTGAATTCTTAAATTTTCCTTGACCCACTTATCAAGCTATTCAATTACACACTGAACATGTGCTCAAATAAAACAGTATACTGGGGTATAATGATAACTTTTAAATATTTCTCTTTGATGGTTATATTGCTTAGCAACATGAAAAAAATTCTTTTTGACAATAGCTTTCTCTGGAATATTTAAAATAAACTTTTCAGTTTAATTGAACCAATATATACTAACCAGTATACATGTATTTTCAGCTGAATTTTCCCTTTTAAACATGATAAACAATCAAAACTTTTTTAAAAATAAAATTGCACCTCTCTTCTGATCAATGTTGCTCTTACCTGGAGAGCAGTTTTGTCTGCATTTTCCAAATTACTTTTTAATGTGGCATCAATACATTCTGCAATCTGAAAAGGATAAGAAATATGATGGATTTAATTTCCTGCATCCTGCTTAAGACCACAAAATTTTGCCAGGAACTCTTTAATTACATATATGAGTGACAATGACATACCTATAGAGATGTCAATATTGTATTATCAGGTTATGATTGTCTACCTCTTAGAGAAAATATGTTATTCTTTGACCAAGTTCATAATTTTATAAAAAAAACACTAAAAGATTTTAGTCTGAGCCTTCCTCTCCATATTCTTATTACTTAATTTTTTGTTTGTTTTTTTTCCATCATTTTTTTTCTTTTAAATTTATTTTATTGTTTTCTTTATGCATTTTTTCCCCTCAATTTTTCTTCAATCATGTATTCTTTATAATTCTCTTAATATGTTTTGTGGAACTTAAAATATGTACAGTAATTTAATTGTACCTTGATCTCAAATGGAGAGAACTAATATAGGCCCTTGGCCTGCTGTTCAATCCATATTCATATTGTACACTTTGTATATTATGAATAAAATACTTCTTAAACTAAGACCAGAAAAGCAATCCATGGCATGACTTTACTTTACTTTAAATTAGCAATTTTCAGTGGCGGATCCAGAAGTTCATGTGGGGGGGGGGTTTGAGTCCCAAAGGGCCGAAGGGGGAGGGCATGGGAGGGGGTGTCCCCCTCCCATAGGTGGGGGTTGTTTTAAATGGTTCTAAATGGTGCATTTTCCAGCATTTTAGGGGTACTTTTTGTAGCTTTTTTAAAGACCGATCATCACAAATTTTTAATAAAATGTTTTCAATTTAATTTAACTTTAACACAAGACTTTAGACTTTGCTTTAAAAAATGTTAAATCTGACAATTTTAGGAATGCATGCAGTTGACTTCAAGTTGTCTTAGTTTACTTTAAATGCACCTACAATTAATTTAGTTCTATGTCAGGCTGACTTCCAAGATACAACTAATGTGCAAATTTTAAAAATTCTTTTCAGAATCCCTAACTTGTGCTTTTCAACTTACTTGAGTATATACTGTCAATATGATTTGGAATATAAACACACGTGTACAATTAATGAAATTTCAAACTGTCTAGATCTTAACTGAAGAAAAAGTTTACATAAACTGGAGAATCTGTCAAAACTAGCATGACTAGAGGGGTTTGCTAAGCCAACCTGGTTTTGTAAAAAAAAATATATTAATTTAATTTTAAAACGGTAAAAAAAAACCCTGAATAATAGTTTATTCATAGTTTAAAAAACATGCATTTTATCAGCAAAAGAATATTACTGAGCAGCACCGTAACTATGCAGTTTTCTGTTGTTGGTACCTAACTACATTGTACTGTGATCTTGTGACTTCACTAGATGCACAGACTACCCGATGTCTGAGGCACTCTCTCTGTTGATTACCTGTGTATTGTGTGCGTTCAAGCGGAAAGAGATTTCCTGTTACGTAGTGGATGTATATTTCACAGTTGTACAAACAAAGGGTTTATGTTTATTAGAGTCTTATCAATGCAACAAAATGACAAAATGACACTTGTAAAAAAAAAAAAAATCAATGAGCGGGGGGGTTTTCCCGAACCCCCCCAAACCCCCCTGAATCCGCCCTTGATTTTTGATTGCCCTGAACTTCAGAAAAAAAAAAGATAAAATGGGCACTGGACTTAGTTTGACATAATTATACATGAGTAGACACATGACATTTCAATGATCATCAATTTATTCGAAAAATTCAGCCGAAATCCTTTTAGGGTAAAGTGATCGTGAGTCGGACAGCTCTAGGTTTCCTTCGTGTGTGCAGGTCACATTCGGTTGTATACCCTCTGCTATTGGGTACTGTCCGAAAGAACTAGCAAAGATCTTCTTATTTTTGCTTGGATTACCTCGGTATTTTACCTTACAAAGCATTCAGATGTGATTAACCACCACCATCGAAATTCGATCGTAAGTCGGACACATTTGATATTGAGTCGGACACATATAAATGTAGGAACTAATTAACTTACAAGACCCTATATACACCCGCTGAGGTGCACTTCATCATTGAACAAGCTTGGGACTTTCACAGACAATATATTTAAAGACAGGGGGTCAGAAGAAAACTAAAAAAAAAAAAGAACAAGCAAAAAAAAAAAATGTCAATATATATAGACCGTCACCCCCACACCTCCGTTTCCCTAACCCCTTTTTGTAATTTCTGTACAATCTTTAAAGTACCCCTTTTTGATTATGAGGTGGATTATGACAATAAATAATTCGTCTTTCACGGGGAAAAAAAGGAAGAGTCTGACCTTGACATGTGACCCCCCCCCCCATCTTTATTATTTTTTTAAATCTCGTATTAGGCCTAATTTGTGTATATTTTGGGTCTTTTTAAACACTTTAAAAATTGCCATCTTTATCAGTCATTCGCAGGTATCCGATATTAAGATAGAATTTAGGGAAAACTAAGAATATAATTACGGAAATGATTTCCAGTTATAGCTAGGAATTAAAATTCTCGGCTAGATAAAGATTTTAATTAATCAAAAGTACACAGTTTTTACCTCCCAAATAATTTAAAAAAAAATTACCTTAAACGCAATAACAATTATGTTATGGAAGTTTCATTTTTAAGAGAGAAAACTATTTATGTCTATAATCTAATTTGTTATGTCAAAAATGTGAGGGTCTAGAGCAGCTGACTATCAAATGGAATTATTGGTCACTTTCAGGTACGTTTCAATTCTTTGTAAATTCTGCATTCTGTCCCTGCAATTTAAAGCAAGATCTTTGCGGAAGGTAATTGATTTATAGCTCTACTGGTCACTCCATGACCAGAGGAGCTTATGCGATAGTGATGTGTCCGTTGTCCGTCCGTTGGTTAACATTTCCCCCCAAAATTAATGCTTCTTCTCCTACAGTTTTGGTCTGATTTCAATATAACTTGGCATACAAGTACCCAATTCTGCATGTCTATATATTTATGAACGGTGTTGCTGTGGTTACTAAAGACACTTTTAAAAAATTCAAGTTCAACGGCTACTTTAAGAGTACAAACCAGTAGAGCTACAGTCTTAACAAAGACTTATTGGTGAGCGACATGCTATTGATGATTTTGTGTGAAAAATTTTCTTCTTGAGAAATGGTTTGTTTTCTTTTCATATAGAAAAAAAAAACTTTTAATGTTCAGTGCAATATACTCGGAACGCTAATCATAAAACGTACGCTAATTTTATGATCGAGAGAGTTAGATTTTAAAATCAAAACCACTTTCTAATGCTACACAATACGCTCTATAAATCTCCATCATAACCTCACCCCTATATTCCATTCTGTATTGAATTAATTTATTAATTTTAAATATTTTTTTAAAAGAGGGAATTTTAGTGTTATCTTTAACAAAAGAAAATTCAAACATTCGGCTTAATTCATAATATTTCTCAAGCAATTATATATGTGGTAAGATTCATATAAATTCTGATAGTGTCCGACTTAACATCAAATAGCTAAAATTTACTGTCCGACTCAAGATCAAATTGAGTCACTGCACCGAAACTTTATTTCTTCGAAAAAGAATTAAATATCTCATAAAACAATTTATAATTATGTATTTACAATGTTTACTGCATAGTTTATGCCTAATTTTAACTTTCAAATTAAATTCTTTTACACGACCTGATAAGTTCCAAGCATTTGATTTATCAAAATTTTGCCGAGCGGGTCTTCGAATTCCCTGGTGATTAGTCCTTCCTAAGGTCGAACGTCATAAACACAGCAACATCGTCTTTCGATAAAGAAAGACAACTCTTAAAAGATTAAAAATTGCTTGATTCAGTCAATCGTGACGGAGGGTGGAATCATTATCGGAAGTCTGTTAAAAATAGCGTCAAAATCGTCCGACTCTAGATCGTGTCCGACTCAAGATCACTTTACCCTAACTGAGACATGTTTTCACTGGAGGCGTAAGTGACTGTGCCTGTACATGTAATTCATTTGGAGTAACATGTATGAGGAAAACTAATATTAGTTTATTACTATGATTACAGAAACAAGAGGGAAGCTATCAATTTTTGCGCATCATTATAATATGAATGTTTTCTGAAATATATTTGTTTTACAGAGAGCAAATATTATCTTTTTTTCCTAAATAACCCAAATCCTGATTAACTGAAACATAACAACGAACAAGCTCCTGTTAGCATTAATCAAATAAAACTGACCTACTTTCTCCTCTACCTCGAATATACAGGTGAAGATTTGGTCAGATCTTACCTCTGCAGTTGCCCCGTTGTTTGGGTGTCGTTTCAGTCTATTCCAGTTGACAATATTCCCGCTGTGGACGATTAAACTCGAAACTTTCGGTATTACAGGTATCTCTTCCGTCATTTTTGTTTCCACGATAAACTTGGTCAATATCGAGCTTGAAAGTCACATGCAAAGCACGTGGTTTAAAACATTTATTAGACCATCCCTCTTCCGAACCCGATCCTTATTATGTTATAATATAGGCCTAGAACGTTTAAATTTTAGAACACGGTGGCAAAGAAACAAAGCTTAGTCACGAAAGATAAAATTATTGAAGTAGGAAAAAGTATATTAAATGTTAGTTATTTGGCATAGATCCTTTGATCACCGATTGTTTATATAGTATACGATTTTAATGTGGGATGCCACACCAACTTTTTATTTTATACATGTAGATCTTTTTGTCGTCCTTTCTAAAAATTGTTTCAGCATTGAAAGACCTATATTAGCTCTTAATTATATGGAATGCCATATACGACAGCCAACTGCTTACTGCCAACTGCTAACTGCTTACTGCCAACTGCCACACATATTTGAATAAATTTTCATATTTATTTTGATATATATTCACGTGTATTTTCAAAAAACAGACGCGGATCCAGGATTTTTTTTCCAAGAGGGACATCCGAGTAGAAAAAAAAACCAACCCAGAAATTTCTTGACAAGAAAAAAAGTAAACTCAGTTAAATTCCTAAATGTGAAAAATTATTTTGGCAGGGGGGTCTTCATGCAGTCTATGAGATTTTTCAAGTAACACGGATCCGCGTTTTAGGGGGGGTCCCTTTTAATTTATGCATTGTATAAATTTCAGTTGGTTTAGTTTGCACATTAAATACCTTTACAAATTTCAAAGGGATGGTCCGGACCTCCCCCCTCCCCCCCTCTGTGCATATAAAACATAACTTACATTGTATTTTGTAAAAACAAAGAGATATAAATCTTTAATTAAAATAACTCCCCCGTGAATCAACAACAAATCCTTTTTTTCGGTTTTTATCCTTTCCAAAGATTTGTTGTCTCATGTAAGGGGGGGGGGATTAAAAACAGGAAAATAGTCATTTTATAAGATAACAAATAAAAAATGACATACTTTATCAATCTCATATATTGAATTTTACATTAATAAACACATACGATGAGATTAAGGAGTCATTTATCCATTTTAATTAATATTTGAAGATCTGATGATATGTTCAGTCTGATTTCAATAGATAAAATCTACCCCTTATTAAGTACTTAAAACTGACCTTGGAACACACACACACCCCTCACCCCCACCCCCACCCCCACTCGAAAACGCGGATCTGTATTAAGTTAATTTGTATGAAAAGTCATAGATATGAAGATATGGAGCATAACCCACCCACACAGCCAAAATAATTTTTCACGTTTACGAAAGGAGTGTACGTTATTTTTCTTGACAAGAAATTTCTGAGTTCGATTTATTTTTACTGGGGTGGATCCCTCCTGGAAAAAATCCTTGATCCATGTTTTTTTAATTTTGATTTTTTTTTTTTTTTTTTTTTTTTTTTTTTGACAATTCACATAAATGTCATCGAAAATATGAAAATTTATTCAAATATGTGTGGCAGTTGGCAGTAAGCATCTGACAGTTGGCAGTAAGCAGTAAGCAGTTGGCTGTCGTATATGGCATTCCATAGTTTTCGTATTTTTTTTTTATTTTTTTATCTATTATTATTTTTTTTTTTTTGTATTTTTTCAAAGGAAATAAAAAAAAAATATATCTAAATAATATGTGTTCGAGTTAAAAGTTTGCTGTAAATGAATAAATCATATGAATATCTAATAAAATATATAAAGAAAGGCTAGTTAGACTTTTTCTTTATGAAAATAAAACACAATGTCACATTATTTGTGAATATTTTTTAAACCAATGGTTAAAAACATCATAAACTAGTCACAACTGGGGAGACCATGTTTGTCAATCACATTTTAAAAAGAAATTGAAATGAAATTGAGAATTTATAGTGAAATTAATTTTTTTAATATTTGGACCTAACCCGATCAAAATTAAACTGATCCCGATCAAATAAACACAAAATGAAAAAAAATACCGGACATTGCTCTACGAGCAATGAGCCCGGCTAAAAACTAGAGGTACTGTGAGCGATGAGCTCACTAAATGATACCCCCCGCCTCCGTATAGTTATAATGGCAAAGTCCATGTTTTGCTGTGGCCGGGAAACCCAAAATATGTGTCGGATCAAAAAGTAAAATAGGAGGTGCACAATGGCAATATGTTATAAAGATTCTGTGAAAGTTTCATCAAATTTCATTCAGTGGTTTTAGAGGAGTTGCGGATAAGAGATGGGTACTCCTAAGCGTAACAGACGGACGGAGGACAGACGTACAGACGGACGGAATTAACGATCACTATATACCCTCCCGCTTTTCAAGCGGGGGGTATAATGATATCCCCGCCTCCTATAATGTCCATGTTTTGCTATATATTGTTTTACGGTAACGTGTAAAGAGGAATAACTCGTGGTATTTAATGTTATTCAGAAGCCGCCATATCTCACGTCAGAGGTAAGAATATAATGGCAATGTCCATGTTTTGCTATGGGAAACCTAAAATACGGGTCGGATCAAAAAGTAAAATAGGAGGTGCACAATGGTAATATGTAATAAAGATTCTGTGAAAGTTTCATTAAATTTCAATCAGTGGTATAAAAGGAGTTGCGGATAAGAGATGGGTACCCCAAAGCGTAACAGACAGACGGACAGACGTACAGAAGGACGGACGGACATACCGATTACAGTATACCCTCCCAATTTTCAAGCGGGGGGTATAATAAAATACTAATTTATTACCTCTTTCATGTATTTACAATGAAGAAATCTATTTGATTATCAAGTTCAATTATGTTTTAACCCTTATTACACCTAATCAGACTAGTGTTCTTGAAGAAATATTATTATACCCCCTGCTTGAAAAGTGGGAGGGTATACAGTAAATTTACCCCCCGCTTGAAAAGCGGGAGGGTATATAGTAATCGTTAATTCCGTCCGTCCGTCTGTCCGTCCGTCTGTACGTCCGTCCGTCCGTCTGTCCGTCCGTCTGTTACGATTTTGGGTACCCATCTCTTATCCGCAACTCCTCTTATACCACTAAATGAAATTTGATGACACTTTCACAGAATCTTTATTACATATTGCCATTGTGCACCTCCTATTTTACTTTTTGATCCGACACATATTTTGGGTTTTAGCAAAACATGGACACTGCCATTTATACACATATGGGAACAGTGAGCCCATTGCTCACAGTACCTCTAGTATATCTTTTATCCGCAACTCTTTACCACTGAAATGAAAAAATTCTTAATTACATATTGCCATTGCACCTCCTATGTTACTTTTTGATCTGACATATATTTTTGATTTTCCACAGCAAAACATGGACACTGCCTTTATTTTCATATGGGAGGCGGGGGGTATCATTTAGTGAGCTCATTGCTCACAGTACCTCTAGTTTATTTCCAATAATTGTTCAATTATGGTTGGGATCGGTTTGATTTTAATCGGGATTGGCCAAAATTAAAAAAAATAATTTATTTAAAATTTGGCTATTTTGTTTCAATTTCTTTTATAAAAATGTAACAAACATTTTCTCCCCAATTGTGACTGGTTTTAAGAAGATTTTAACCACAAGTTTAAAATATATTTACACATTATATGTTTTATTTTCATAATTATTTTTTATTTAAAAATTTTTAAAATCTATACGGCTTTTCTTTACATATTTCATTAGGTATTCACGTGATGCATTCATTTACAGCAAAAGTTTTACAAGAAAGCATCTAATTTGGATGTAAATAATTTTTTTAATTATCTTTGAAAAAATACAACAACAACAAAAATCATATAAAAAAATTTAAGAGCTAATGTCCGCCTTTCAATGCTGAAACCATTATTTAAAAAGGTTGACTTATGCCCTGTTCACACGGAGAGTTTAATTCGAATTAAACGTAAGTTTACTGCGAATTAGCTTCGCTTAGCGTTCACACGAAGAATTTAATGCGAATTAGTTTATATTAGTTTACTGCGCATTAAATTACTTCGCATTAGCTCCGTGTGAACGCTAGCGAATTTTAATTAAATTAAATTCTGACATGCGTAATGGCAAAATTTAGTCAAATGCCACTTGTCGGTGGTCATTATAGGTACTTGTGCTATTTTTTGAAAAATTAAGAAAAAGTTTGAAAATCATTAAAATGTGTATACAGACACTTTGTCATTATGCCAAATGGATCTGCTTCAGCATAAAGTGATGTGATTTGCGAATGACGTCATAATAGCCGTGCTGACGCCAGGCTAAAGTAAACTTTTAATTCGCATTAGTTTACTTCGCATTAGCTGTCGTGTGAAAGCAATTTAATTCGCATTAGTTTGATTCCATTAGGAACACACACACTCGTCGTGTGAACAGGGCATTAGAGAACTATAAAATAAAAAAGTTAGTGTGGCATTCCTCCTTTGAAAAAAAGATGGTGAATGCTCTCTCTCCCTCTCTGAGTCTCTCTCGTTCGAGAAGTTGCAGCTAATCGCTGTTTTCTCATTTCAATTTACTTATAACTTAACTTATCAAACAGTGTCTAATGCCCTGTTCACATGGAGAGTTTAATTCGCAGTAAATTAATGCGAAGTAAACTAATGCGAATCAAACTAATGCGAATTAAATTGCGTTCACACGACAGCTAATGCGAAGTATAATGCGAAGTAAAATTTTACTTCTGCAGCCCGGCGTCAGCACGGTTATTATGACGTCATTTGCAAATCACGTCACCTTCTGCAGAAGCATATTCATTTGACATACCCGGTAATGTCACAGTGTCTGTACACACATTTTGATGATTAACAAAATTTTGCTTAGTTTTTCACTCAAAAATAGCGCAAGTACCTGTAGCTGACCATCGACAAGTGATATTTGACTAAATTTAGCCAATACGCATGCGTCAGAATTTAATTCGAATTAGCTTCGCTTAGCGTTCACATGGAGCTATTGCGAAGTAATTTAATGCGCAGTAAACTAATTCGAATTAAACTAATTCGCATTAAATTCTTCGTGTGAACGCTAAGCGAAGCTAATTCGCAGT